TAAATACACAAACATGTGGAGGAGGTCTTTAAAACCTAGAGCATAGCAAGATTTGTGGTATTTAAATTCCTCGTAACTAAATTATAAGGAAAAAAATATGCTCACCTAATTGATATGTGTTCTTATAATGAACATTTTGATTCGCTATGTTGATGGTATTTTTCGTAATGCACAAGTCAAATTTTCCAAATTTTTGTTAATACTTCTTTGCGTCTCATAGAGTCTCTAAGCATACACCCGAACTAGTATACTCCCTAAAACCACACTCAGTCCTAACTGCAAGACGCAAGAGTCTCGCAGGCTTAGTCTTGTTCTTGCTCAAGTCTTGCACGGTTAGTCTTGGTCTTGGTCTTGCAAAAATTAGGCAGTCTTGGTCTTGGTCTCGGTCTTGCAAAAACGCAAGAACAAGACCAAAACTGCAAGACCAAGACCGATTTTGGGCAACAATAATGCTATGATTTTTTTGACGGATATTCTTCAGTTAAAGTTGATTTCATGTAATCGAATTAACTATTTTACATTAAAGTCGTCCCAGGAACGCAACTTAAAAACATAGGCAATATTATTGGCATAACACAAATTTTTTAATCTATTATTATTATGTATTTTGAGAACGAGTTCCGATGTGGAAACGAAACGTCAAATATACTTATTTTTAAAGTAAATATGTGGCTTTATCCCAACAAAAATAGTAAATTGCAACAAAATATACTGTTTAATAAAAAAATATATTTTGAAAACGCCTACTTATTGGCAAGCCTAAACGTCAAATAAAGAGTTTATTTTGTAATTGTATATGATAATGATGATTGGAACTCTATGAAAAACTTTTTACTTTTTGGAGAAAAAAATCATAACGACACATTTTTTATTTACACACAATATTCAGTAACATAAATTGCAAAACAAACTGCGATTTTGTAACTGCAATCCACTTAATCCCATCAGCTCTACATCATAAATGAGAGAAAAGAGCTACAGGACTCCCTAACCGCCAGAATAGAATGGGGATGGGCAGGGCAGACAGACTCCGACAGACGTAATCTAAAAGGGATATGGATAGGCTCACCCCATTCCATTTTCAGTCTAGCCGGGTCATGGAACTGACTCAAAAACGGGGATGGTTGATGGCTGTTGATAGACGAGGGGCAAGTTAACTTTACATTAGTAAAAATGAGATGTATACGTTTAAATGATCACAAAAATAAAAGAGTGAAGGGACGTTTTATTTTTATGTTAAGTAGTTTTTTACGAATGTTTTAAATGCAAGTAAGTTGTTTTAATTAGGTTTTTTTTCAGATATTGTACTTTGTTCTGTCTATTGTCGATTTATTTTATCCGTTTGTCTATTTATTGTATTCTTGATCTCCTTTTATAAAGTAGGAGAAAACTAAACTGATAACACTAAACACATGACAACACACGGAGATAACTACTTACGATTATAAAGAAAACTGAGCTCTAGAAAAAGAAGTGATGGATCATAACAAGTTAAATAGATAATATACTAGTATAAACCATTCTCTAATGCCGGGTCCAGACTATGTAACAAAACATCACATCAACAACACAAAACTTGTTACAGAATTTTAAATAAAAAAGTTATAAAACACAGTGTTGTATAAAAATTTTCTGGTTATATAGCAAGTTTTATGTTATCCAACAGTTGTCGGTAAACATCAAAGAAAGTTATAAAACATTAAAATGAAAAAGACAGCAAATATTTGATTTCACGCAAACAAATCCTATGTATCTGTTGATACGTATTTCGACCTAATAGGTCTCATCAGAACAGCTGTTCATAGGAGTTCTCAACGTGAAAAATCAATATTTTCTGCCTTTTAAGACGCAATTAAGAAGGATTTACTCTGTGTGAGTACTAGAAGCACAATTCGCTAAGGATTTCTGCTTAGTTGTAAAAGACATGTCGTGGAATGCAAATTTTAGATTCCCCATGTCCCTTTTAACATCTTTTATCAACGTCTGTTTGCCTTGCAATTTTTAGAAGGCTCAGATTATAAGCAGAAATCTGAATTGTGTTTCGAAACTATTTTACGGATTTATAAAACATTGTTGTAAAACCGCATCGTGACTGATCTACACTTAAAAACAAGTTATTGAAACATTTCTTTGGCATAGTTCGAGCAGAAAAAGTCGGAGTCATATCGCCCTGTTCATTCTGATTCTTTTGTGATTTTGCTAAATTTTTATTTGCTCTGTTCACGTGGGGTTATTTCTTATTTACGCGATGGAATGGTCGAAAGAACTGACTAATTTAATTGAGCTATTTCGGCAACAACGAGTATTATGGGATCCTACATTCATGGATTTTAAAAACCGAAATAAAAAACACGATGCATGGACTGAAATAGCCGGAGAAGTGAAAGCAGATACAAGCGAAGTTGAACAAAAAATATACGTATGACGCCATTTTATATACTGCCTAACCTACCAGACTTGAAGGTCTGGTAAGGAAAAACTGGCTACAAGTAGCGTACAATAAAAAACAATGGAAAGGAAGACTTGAAGAGGCTTATGTTCAGATGTGGACGTGAATAGCTAGACGAGGAAGAAGAAGAACCTACCAGACATCCAGCTAAAAGTTATGCGCATTTTGTTGTGTTGTTTTTAGTTATATAGTCTGGATGCTATGTTATATTGTAACAAGTTACAAAACAAAGTTGTAAAACAAATCTGTTGTACAACTTTGTTATTTAACATGTTTTGTTACATAGTTTGGACCCGGCTTAAGACGGATCAGTCTAATGTCATTTGTACTGAGGACTGTTGAACAGTATAGGCTCGTCCCATGGTGCGAGTCAAGCGACGCTTCGGTTTCACTATCTAAAATTTGGCAGAATGCAATTTTTTGTTTATTGTTTTATTTTTACTGGAGCCCTTTTCTTCTTCTACTTAACATGCCATACACCAAAGTGCGTAGGCGACTATCTCATTACTAGAATTCTGTTCTTGGCGGCGTGACACAGCTCGCCTGTATTGTGTATTCCTGTCCATTCTTTACTATTCCTTAACCAGGGTAATTGTTTGCGGCCGCCTCTTCTCCTACCATCGATCTTCCCTTGTATGATTAACTCTGGTATTTCATATGTTGCTCCTCTCAATATGTGCCCAAGGTAAAGCAAATTGATTATCTTGTGGCGTCTACGTCATATTTGCGCGCAGGGCAAAGTCCGACAGGAGCTGTATAAGTGAATTGTAAAAACATGGGTTTAAACGTAGTACAGTGGAATTTCTAATTGAATTGGGAACAAACTTAAGTTAGCGGAATTAATTTATTTAAACCTTATTTATATGTTTTTGAGAAAATATTAATATTTTTGTAGAAAAAATTTGATTGCAATTATCGTAATTAATTAATGTAAAATGTATTTGGATGTAACTTGCATATTTTATGAAAAAAATATTCTTTTGTATAACATTTAAATATAGTTTTAAGAAAATACAATTTGTTATAACAACAAGTATTATGCAGTTCTGTAACAAATGGTTGTTTGTGGCATGAAGCAAGTGTGTTTATATAAATGTTTTTATTGTTGTATTTGACCACAGTATATTTTGTCTATAGCTATAGACTCATCATATGTTTGTATCATGGTAACATTTTTTCTTCATTATAACACATATATTTTAGCAGTGATAACATGCTCAAATTAATAACGTAACAAATAATTGCTATGCTAGTTAACACTAAGTGATTTAGAAAAAACGTTTTAAACTAGCTTGTTCTAGTAATGCAACTTGACTTTAATTTTGTATAATACGATTAATGTTTCGACTAGCTGTATTCACTGATATTCTTGAAAATAAATACTGATAATAAGTTCTCCTAACATAAATCTGTAATTATAAAAAAAATTAGACTTTGCGTTAAGTTACCAAAGACAGCACATAAAATATGTTAGTTCAACAAATACGTCTCCTGAAAGAACAAATCAACAACAGTGAATCGGTTATTATAACACTGAGTAGAAAACTTTTATTAGATATTACTCATTCGTTATAAATAACTTTGTACAAATAACAATGTAAATAAAAATATATTTACCGCAAATAGATATTGTTAAACTCTTCAATAAACTGTTAATTCAAAAAAGTTTTTATATTTAATACCTAACTTACACACTAACTTTACTAGACACTTAGTACCTAACTACACACTATTTTTACTAGACTAATTATTAAACGTGTAGAAGCGATCCGTTTGCTTCGGTTGATAGAAAATTTGTGGCAATGCTTTTAGATCCGTTAGTAACCACGACCGTCAGACGAATATCGGCCGTTGGCGCACGATGACGTACACGCCACGAGATAATCCACAGGCTTTAACTAATCTTGCGTTTTTTAATTAATTCAAAGAGTTCTCTTTCCACGCCGGCTCTCTTAAGGACGTCATCGTTTCGAACTCTATCCACCCAAGGTATGCGCATCATTCTTCTCAATGACCACGTTTCAAATGCTTCAAGTTTGTTGACATATGTTTTTTTCAAAGTCCACGTTTCCATGCCATAAAGCAAGATGGACCATATGTAGCACTTGACCATTCTGTAGTGTATTTCGAAATTTAGGTTTTGATTACATAGGAGCGATCTGAATTTCACAAAAGCTTGTCTTGCCATTTGTATTCGGATTTTTATCTCGTGTTGTGGATCCGATTGGTCATTGATTGTGGTGCCAGGGTATTTAAAAGTTTTCACGCGTTTTATACGATCGTCACCTATGCATATTATCGGGTTTTCTGGATGGTTTCTGCTAATGACCATATATTTCGTTTTCAAAATGTTGATTTTGAGGCCATATTTTTTACCTATGCTATTCACCCTATCAAGTAACTGCTGATCTTCCAAATTATCAGTTATAATCACTGTGTCGTCCGCATAGCGTAGGTTGCTAATTGGTATGCCGTTCACCTTATATCTTCTAATGCTTCCGCAAATATATTTTCAACATATAAATTAAAAAGCATCGAGATAGTATAGATTTTAAATATTTCTGATCTCCTTCTGGTCTATGTTGGCCCTATGTAGTAGTTCCATCATGATATCATATGTAACATTGTCAATTGCCTTCTCGTAGTCGATGAAGGTGAGGTAGACATCTTTTCGTTGATCTAAGCAGTTTTGCATGAAGGTGTTCAAACATAGAATTGCCTTTCTGGTTCCTAGTCCTCCCTTAAAACCGAATTGTGTTGACCCGCTAAGTTCTTCTAGTATCTTGTAAGTTCTTGAGTGTAATATCCTAAGGAAGAGTTTCAGCAAATGACTCATTAAACTGATTAAGCGGTGTTCACTGCATTTTGTGGCATTAGCTGTTTTTGGGATCATCACAAAGGATGACTGCAGCCATTCTCGCGGAATGTAACCAGTATCATAAATTCTATTGAACAGCCTTACCAAGATTTCGATATTCTCCTCGTCTAGTAGTTTTATTGCTTCTGTATAAATTATTAATTCTGTATATATTAATTTCATCTGGACCTGTTGCTTTATGCATATTTGTGGTTCTAACTGCATATTCTATTTCACTTCACATTATTGATGGCCCTGATAAGTTTTCGGAAGGAAGTTTGCGCGTTGGTTGTGTTGGTCTTTCGTCAGCCCTTTCGGAGCCCTTTTAGGGAAGCCTAATTTCTGCTTACCTATAATCTAAAAGATTGTATTAAGGTTAGGGCGTAGCGACTGTCCGTCATAGGGCGCACAATACCAAAGTCCGAAGCAAGAATAAACATTAAACAACATTCGTGAAGCGAATTTTGTGATACGTTAAGTGAAGTACAATTCATGAATGTGTTGCTTGTGTGAGTCCAGTTCAAATAGGTAAAGAAATAATAAATAAGACTTACTCACAATCAATTTAATTTAACTATCAGACGACCGGTTTCGCTTTCTACAATATGCAAAGCATCCTCAGGTCTCGATACAAAGTTAAACAAATGCTGAAATAATAAAAACCCATATTAGGGTGTTGTCTAATAACGATAAACAAAGTAGATGCTGTAAATTACAATAATTATGCCAATATTACATGTCTGTGGTTCTATTTAAAAGAGTAAGTTGAATAAAAAGTATAAAAGTTTTAACAGTTTAAACAGACAAGGTAAGGCCCACAAATTTTTATAAAATAGTCTCTTCGATTGTAATAAATTAATAAATGAGCAAATAAATAAAATAAACATTACTTACATGCCGGTACTCTATTAACTGATGGATGGTAGAACATGGTTGAAACTACTATGTATTGTTGAATGGAGAACTCAATTCTATTATTGCAGTTGTTTGACAGTAAACGGGAAGTTCTTGAGGAGATAGATTTGATCCAATGAAGAAGAGATATGTGTGTGATTGTTTGTTAAATGAAAGTGATGTAATATACATCATGATGAAACAATCTTTATAAAACAATCACTCAATAAATAACACACATTTCATAAATATATCTCTCGAATAAGCGTAAATAACTTTTAATAATACAATGGTATATTACATCACTTTCATTTAACAAACAATCACACACATATCTCTTCTTCATTGGATCAAATCTATCTCCTCAAGAACTTCCCGTTTACTGTCAACAACTGCAATAACAGAATTGAGTTCTCCATTCAACAATACATAGTAGTTTCAACCATGTTCTACCATCCATCAATTAATAGAGTACCGGCATGTAAGTAATGTTTATTGTATTTATTTGCTCATTATTATGCTCGTTATTAGACAACACCCTAATATGGGTTTTTTTATCATTTCAGCATTTGTTTAACTTTGTATCGAGACCTGAGGATGCTTTGCATATTGTAGAAAGCGAAACCGGTCGTCTGATAGTTAAATTAAATTGATTGTGAGTCTTATTTATTATTTCTTTACCTATTTGAAGTACAATTATTTCAGATCGCATCAGTTTTGATTTTTTGCCAGCTTTCCGTTTATCAATTGATTCCATTCAATGATAAATCATTATTTATTAAATTTAATTGATCATTTATTTTACATTTTTATAAAAATAGTATAAAATTAGTCTTATTAATATTAATATGTCTTATTAATAAGTCTTATTAAGAGATTGATCTCTGGTGAGCTGGGTTTCCGTGTTATCGAGCCCTAGGTGACTTGGTGTGTTGGAGTAGCATGGCCTTATAGAGATCATGGCCATATAGACCCAGCTGTTTTATGTTCCCTAGGAGCTTTTTGGGAATAACACCAGTAGAAACCTCTTTTTTTAATCTGGGGTAGCTCGTCGAAATATAAATAACTACGTAGTTTTCACTGGCACTGGTTTTCAGGTAATTTTTTACACATTATATTATTATATTCCTTATGTTAATTATGAATCTATATGTTTATATTATGTGTGTAGGTATATGTACAGTACGAGGACGGTAAACACATTTATTTATGTTTTTAGATCTTAATATCTCCAAAGATCACATAATATACCGTGTCCCTACATTTTATATGTATTCATGTGAATAGGAGAAAGGTCATCTATATAATAGAAAGCCGGTAATATATATTAGTATTCGTAAAAAAGGCAGGATGAATAGCAGCTGCCACACTTCAAAATTTCGTCAAAATAGTCCCCAACTTCGTTTCTATTGGTCATAGAAGTTTTTTCTTCTAATTATGAATTTTTTTACCAGCTATCCAATGGTTATACGTACAAGTTTGTCGTTTGAAAAATAATTTCGATGAAAACGCAATAGGCATTTAACTTCTGAGATAGTTTAAGTCTTAAAGAATTTAATTTAAATTTGTTAAATGTGTCTAGCATCATTAATAGAGCAAGTTCAATAGTTTAAACTTTTAGCCTCAGGGATAAATAAATGAAATAACTTTAAAACTATTTGACCGATCGGTGGGAAATTTCGCACAAATTTAAAAGTCGGTAATTCCTCGATGATCAAATGTATTAATAACATTTTATTTTGTTAATAAAAAATTATTAAAATTTATAAATTAATGCAAAAAACTGCTTTTTTGTAAATATCTCCGTAAATTATTTATTAATTTTAATTTAAAAAACGGGAAAATAAAGATTATCTTGATATAAAAGATGATATAAATATTGTTTATGCAAAACATAAGGGAAAAAATTATAGACAAAAAATCAAATTGTGACCATAAATCATTTAAAAAAAAGCAAGGTAAAAATACGAGTATTTTTTCATCTATTCGTCATCTAGTAACCCCCACCTATGTCTTAAAAGCTTCACATATCTGCGAAAATTTTTTCGACCTTTTTTTGACAAGACTGGGCTATTGAGCTATTGTTTATTGTTGATACTAGGCGTACATTACATTCGTAAAGGTATAAAAAATACTATTTAATTATTTGAGCTATCCGTACTATGCCTTGCATACTAAATTAAAATTTATATGCTGTATTCAGTTAAATAAAAAGTATTTTGGTAGAAATGTACGAAGAAACTGTGTTTTTAGTAACAATTTAAAATTACAGTGAAAAAGTACTGCCCAACCCTTTTTTCATTGTTTATTAGTGTACATGTTACTAAAGACTAATTAGCTCCAAATAAGCGGTTACAACTTTCCGGATCATAAAGGCGACGCCCGCAGTATCTATGCGGGTTGAGACTTTTTTGCCGGCAAAGAGCAGAGTGCAGAGAGCGGACTTGGTGCAATAACAGTAACGGAATCTGCAGGACCACGTCTGCTACGTCGAGTCGATCTATTATATATGCTAATTTTCTATGCTAACTACAGGCTCAAATGATGTTATAATATTTCAGTCGCGAAATTATTACTTGCTGGTTTCAAATAATAGCTATGAGGCATCGAAAAAAAAACCATTAACAGTCGACAATTTAGCCATCCGTCAAATTTCAGCTAAAGACATTAGTTATGATTTGACATTATTTGTAGATCTCTATTTTCAAAAAAAAAACTTAAATTTAAAAATCCAACAAACCAAGAAGGCAAACATTATCGAAAATTCTTCAAAAATAAATAGCAAGAATACTGTAATTTCTTTGACTAAATAGTGTACAAATTCTCTACAGTACAACTACCTAAACTTTGAAACGAAGAATAAAAAGTCTTCGAGACTCACAATCTAGAAAAAATATCATATAGAGTAAAACCCCGATTTTCCTTGTGCGGGTTATCCGGGCTGCGGATTATCCATCCTATTATTTCTCATTACTCAAATTGTATTTTTGATGTTTTATCACTCGACGAAAACGCCATGAAAAAGACGGATAATGCAATATTGATAACGCCAGTGCTCGAGGAATCACTGGAAATATGTAGCTTGCCATCTGCCGCTGCGTGCTACGGCGAATGTGTGATATTTAGTTGCGCGCTAAAGAAGAATCGCTAATCTGCTATATTCGTAACATGTATCTTTCAACAACTCAAAATGAAGCACTGAATCCAAGTGGATTCTACAAAAAAGATCGGAGGGTGTACCAATGTTTGGGCCAGTGTATGGATATTTTTCAAGAAACCTTGAAAATCAAAGAACCTTTCAATACACCAGTGGTTTGTCACACTGATTCAAAATACATTACGGGATTCGTGAGCTTACCATTCAAAACAAAATGTTCAGTGCCAAAGAAGAAACAATAGTGAAATTTTGCTATTAACTGGAAACCATAATTAAAGAAAATAATCTATAGCTTTCTCAAGTTTATAGTTATCTTCTTCTTCAGCTTGTTTGCAACCACTCCTAGACAAAGGCCTCTTCGTGTGTTCTCCACTCTTCTCTGTTTTGTACTATTTGATGCCAGTTTCTCCCCACTTCTGCTTTGATGTCGTCTAAGCACCATTTTTATGGTCTTCCTCTACTACGATTGTGCTCGCGTGATCTCCAATCTATAATGTTTCTCGTCCATCTTTCGTTGTTTTGTTGTGCCACGTGTCCCATCCAGCTCCATTTCATTTGTGTAATTCTTAAAATTACATCTTCTATTTCCGTCCTACTTCGCACTTTGTTATTTAGTATATTCTGTGCCATTCTTAGTCTATTAGCTGATAACTCTATAAGTGTTACGGTCTCCATTTCATAGGTCACTGGCACAGGGCTTTATTGGCGAGCAATACCTAAAAAATCCTTAGCTGCAAGTAATGAGATAAGTGGAATGGGATATAAAAAAAGTAAAGACCGGATAACAGTGTGTGCCAATATATCTGGCAGCCATAGACTTAAACTGAATGTGATTTGAAAGTAAAAAATCCTCTGGCTTTTAAAAACATAAAACCGCATAATCTCTCAAATCACTAATATAACCAGCAAGCTGCCTGGATAACTTAAAGCCTTATTTGAAGAAGGAAAAGTTGCCACAAAAAAGCGCTGCGTCTTCTGGATGACGATGACGCTGACGATGAAATTATTTGTTCTTGTTTTCCAGCCAATGTTACATCAATTGCTCAACCAATACATTCATTTTTATAGTGGAGTGAAAGTAAAGATTTTCAAACGAGCTTTTACAAAATAATGACGCTGGAATCATGGAATATGATGATAAAGGCAAATAAACTACCTTAGAGAAATTGATGACAATGTGGCAAAAATGAGCT